AGCAAAATAACCTAAAATCATGGAGAAGTTGACAACTAAGCAAATTTACTTTTCAAATAATGTTATAGATATATTTTTTGGTGTTCCAAAGTTTTTTACTATATATAATATATGTTTTAGTTAAATAATACCTACAAGTAGTATTAATAGTAAAAAACTTTGGAACACCTAAACATATTATATATAGCTTCTCCTCAGTATCCAGAAAATAAGATATGTTATCAAATAGATTCCATTTCAAAGAAAAATATGAGTACGACAAAACTATGATGATTTGCTTACTTGCAGTAATATTAGCAACTTCGTTGTCTAATCAAGCGTTTTTGGTCTTAGGTATGTATGTTTAAAATATAATTTTAATTTTTTCTTTTTTTTTTTTTTTTAAATTTTAATATTTTAGTTAGATAGCTAACCATGTAGAAATTGTTATAGCATCCGGTTGTGTAGAAGATACACACATTCGTTATCTAATCACATCGTTTTTGGTCTCGGGTGTTTAAAATATAATTTAAATATTTTAATTATATAACTTACCATGTAGAAATTGTAATACCATCCGTTTGTGTAGAAGATACAAACAAGTAAAGAACCTAAACCAATAAAAAAATGAAACCAAAATACATAACATTATAGTTTAACATAAGATGAACAACTCCTCTTGATTTAATATGCTCCAATCCTCCATAATAAAAACGTACTATTGAGCTTCTTGGCACTGTAGTAGGCAGGGCGAGTTGCTAATAACTTGAGATCTTAAAGTTTCTCAAAGTTATTTTCAGATAGGGCGATCTCGAGATTGTATTTTTTTTTTTTTGAAACACAACTTAAAATTAATGCCGATCAAACAAGGTTTGGTGATACAATAAATGCAGATTCATCTGCCAATACATGTTTAGCTAAACTATCAGCAATAACATTGTTCACTCGAGAGATCCATCGAAAGGAGGCAAATTCAAAGGAAGCTGCAATTGAGTTGATATCGGCGACGATTCCGTAGAGTGCAGAGGCAACCGATGTCGAGGTCACTGCTTGTATAAGTTGGGACGAATCTGATTCACAGATTACCCGAATAATTCCAAGCTCTTTGCATTTCATAACCGCTGCACGTAGCGCCATACCTTCTGCCACGAGAGGGGAAGAGACAAATTGAACCGCGGCTGAGAAGGTAAGTGTTCTGAATTGCTCTGCTATAGTCCATCCGAGTCCTGCTTTCAATTGAACCTCGTTCCAAGCTGCATCAGATCTTATCACTGTGCATCCATCAGGATTTGGGATTTGGACTGTTGCACAGCGACGCATCACTGTCTTCTTCTCCTGGTTTGTTTCCCACTCTCTCGCAAGTCTAACAGCCTTGGAGACAATTTCCCCTGGAGTCAACCATCTATCATTGAAGATGCCATTGTTTCTGGCCAACCATATTTGCCAAAGTATCCAAGGGGCTAGGGAACTCTTTATCACTCCAGTCGGAGGTAAGCAAATACTTGCATTCAAATCATTCCAAGTAGGTTCTAGATCTATTACTCCTCTAACTTCAAAGCTTGGCATTAGTGGGGCCGAATCCCATACCTTCTGCGCAAAGCTGCACTCAAAGAAAAGATGATTTATAGATTCAGGCCTGTTGCAGATTTTACAGTTTCCATCAGCTCTTATATGTCGTCTAACTAGCTGTTCTCCTACAGGTACTGCTCCATGGAAAATTTTCCAGATGAATAGCTTTATCTTTGGAGTTGTCTTCAACTTCCATACACTCTTTCTCCAGTTGGTGATCGTCTCCATATGTTGAACTGCTTCTGATGTTGAGTTCCTGGACATGGCTGCTGCGTAGCCAGTTTTAACGGAATACTCTCCAGTATGAGTCATGAGCCAGATTAGCTTGTCAGAGGCCCCCAGCTTACTTGGTTTGAGTGCTCGAATTCGCTCCTCCTCAAACGGTAAAATCTCTCTGATTTTTCCCACATCCCATTCCATGGTTTCAGAGTTCAATAGATCAGCAACCACAAGGTGTAAAGTAGACACAGGTGGTGGTCCTGTTGGTCTAATAGGTGCATCCAGGCTTAGCCACGCCTCATCCCATATACTGATATTTTTCCCATCACCAACAGCCCATCCAAGTTGGCTTTTCAGCAAATCTCTGCCTAACAGAATACCCCTCCAGCCATGCGATATTGCATCATTCTCAGTGCAGTCTAAGATCCCTTCTACAGTGCAATACTTCCCCATCAGTACCTTCGCGAACAAACTATCAGGATGGTTGATAATTCTCCAGCTGAGCTTAGCCAGATATGCATCATTGAAGCTCTGGATATCTCTGAACTCAAGCCCTCCCTTATCCTTTGGCATGATCATTTTATCTCATGAAATCCATGCCATTTTCTTGTTGCCATTTCGGTCATCCCAAAAGAATCTGGTAAGGGCAGATTGTATTCTTTGGCATAGTGATTGGGGAAGCTTGAAACATGTCATTGTGTGGGAAGGTATTGGGGATAGAACACTTTTGAGCATGGTCACTTTACCGGCTGTGGACAAGAACTTATTAGACCATCCTGCTGCCTTCTGCTTGATCTTATCGACAATGGAGGTAAACAAGTCGCACTTCTTTCTCCCAAAGTGCTCAGGTAGGCCAAGATACTTGCCTACACCGCCCTCTTTTGTTATTTTGAGGTTTGACTTCACTACATGTTTTAACGTTGCAGGGGTTCTTTTGGAGAAGGTTATGGATGATTTTTCAACATTGATGTATTGTCCAGAAGCCTTCTCATATTTAGCTAGCAGCGCTTGAAGTGTAGAACTACTAGCCTTTGATGCTTTCACGAAGAACATCGTGTCATCAGCAAAAAGTAGATGATTGAGCCGGGGACTCCCCCGCGCTACTTTAATTCCTTTAAGGGAACCATCTTCTTGTGCTCTGTTGCAAAGACCGGAGAGAACCTCACTGCACATTATGAAAATGTACGGTGAGAGAGGGTCGCCTTGGCGGATTCCTTTACTCGGTTTTAACTCTTCCTCTAGGCGAACCGTTGATGAGGAAGGAGTATGAAACAGAAGACACACATTGCAAGATTAAATTTACCCAAATAGGGTGGAAGCCAAGGCGCTGGAGCACTTGCTGGATAAAGTTCCATTCCAGCCGTTCATATGCCTTGCTCATGTCGGTTTTAACCGCCATTGCACATCTCTTTTCCGCTTTAGATGTTTTCAATAAGTGTAGTACCTCGTGGGTGATGAGTACGTTGTCTGAAATCATTCTTCCTTTGACAAATGCAGATTGATTTTCAGATATAAGGCTTTGGAGGAGGGGTTGGAGTCTTCTCGTGAGCAGCTTGGAGATAATCTTGTAATACACATTGCATAAAGCAATGGGACGATAGTCGCTAACTCGCTGTGGACTCTGGATCTTCGGTATTAGTCTCACAAAAGTCTCATTTATCCGAGGCGGGAGCTTACCACATGAGAAGAATCCTTGGATTTCCTTGACAATTTCAGGGCCAATAGAATCCCAATTTGTGTGGAAAAAGCTTGCGGAAAAGCCATCTGGCCCCGGAGCCTTATCAGCGTGTATACTAAATAGAGCTTCTTTAATCTCCCCTGCTGTAGGTATGCTGATGAGTAACTGATTTTGTTGTTCAGTGATCTTGCAGGACAGTGCCTCGTCCACAACCTCCTTGCTGTTCCCTGCTATCGACGTATACATTGTGTCAAAATGAGTAACAATGACCTTCACAATCTGATCCTCTTGGTGCACCATCATTCCTTCAGTGTCTTCGATGACAGAGAAGGCATTAGCTCTTCTTCGGTTTTTTGACACAGCATGAAAAAACCCGGAATTCCTATCACCCAAATTCAGCCAAAGAACACGGCTACGTTGTCTCCAGTGTTCCTCTTCCGCTAGGTAAGCTGCGCTAAGTTCATCACTGATGCGTTGGATGAGGTTTGTATCATTGACTGGACTTGTAAGGGCTGATTCCAACTCATATTTTTTCTCCTCAATGAGCTCTCTGCTATTTCTGTATTGAGCTTTACTCCATTCCGTTATCGCAGTTCTGACCTTTGCAATGCGATCAGCGATGGTGCACCCTTTTGCCTGAGTCCATGTATCTGCAACCAGAGTTTTTACTGCTTCGTTATCCTTCAATCTACGGTCATATCTAAACAACCCTCTGCGTTTCTTCTTATCAGGTTCAAAGTATGACATTAATGGTTTGTGGTCAGAGCCCTCATAAGCTAAGTATTGACATCTTGCTTTAGGAAACAGCTCAGCCCAAGCACTGTTAACAACTGCTCTGTCAAGTCTACACCTTACAAAATGCACTCCTCGCTGTCCTCTCCATGACAACGGGTCGCCAGAATGCTGAAGGTCATACAAGTCTGTTTCGGACATGAACGTGCGTAAATCTGTGAATCATCCTTCCTCTCTACTTGGTCCTCCTTCTTTTTCAGTGTTACTGGTAAGATCATTGAAATCCCCAGTAACAAAAAGCGGTGCCTCCCTCGAGTCCGAGAGAGTGGTTATTTGATTCCATAATTGTCTTCTCTGGGGCTTATCAGTACTAGCATAGATGAAAGATGCAAAAAAATCCTTGTCTTCAAATTTAATACAAGTATCTGTATGATTTGCATTAGAGCTCAATACTTGTAAGTTGATTTCCTGCTTCCACAACAGTGCGAGCCCACCAGCTCCATGTCCAACTGGTGGTACTAGTACACTGTTTTCGTAGGTAAGTTGATCCAGCTTTGAGGCAACAAAGCTATTGGGGTTTTTAGTTTCCATTAAGAACATGATGTCAGGGAATATATCCTTCTTCAGTTCCTTTAGTCTTTGAACTGTCTTGGGATTCCCCAAACCTTGACAGTTCCAACTGCATATTTTTAAGGAACGGGAGAAGATGGATTCCGAAAATCCATCTTATTCCTTGTTTTCGTTGAAAGCATGTTGCATATGGGTTGGTTTTCTGATATAGTGGCAGCATCTGATGTTGACTTTGAAGACGTATTCCTTATACCATCTGTTGTCAATTTCCTTTTGCAGGTGGGCGTAGCTTCTTTCTGCCCTTTTCTTTTGCGTGAGATAGATCCCCGGATTAGTTTAGGGCTCTGCTGAGTAACTCTCCTGACTGGGGGACGTCCCAGCTTTTTCTTCTCAGCCTGGTTTGCTGCCGCTGTCTCGTTATTCTGTTTCTTCTTCTGCGTGGGGGCTTTAATCCTTTGGGAGACAGGGGGGCGTCCCGGTTTCCTCTTAGTAGGAGGTGCAGGTAATGGGATATTCTCCTCATTTGTGGGCTCAGTATTGAGAGGGCCTAATCTCTGAGAGATTGGAATTCTTTCTGCAGTAGGGGGAGTGTCTTGTACCATTGGTTCTGGTGCTTCTCTCTCAGTCCTGGAAGCTTCAATCATGAGCAACGCTGCCTCTTCCATCTCACCCTCTTGTTCCGCTAACTTCATTCTTTCTCGCCTAGCTGCACTCTCAGTAGGATCAGCACTTCGAGTATAGAGTTCCATGGCTGCCTTTACTTCTCCAAGGGCCACCTCAAAGTCCCCTTGTTGATTGTCTTGTAGAGGATCCCCCTGTTTTGTTCATTTGTCTGAGTTTTGGAGGAGCTAGAGTCTTCTCCTCTGTTGAGAGGGTTGTGTGCTAGTTGGTTCCTAACCAGATCAACTCTTGGTGATCTCTGCCTTTCTCTATTATCTTCATTTTGGTTAGGCAGTCCATAGCTTTCATTGTGTGCTCTGTTATTTCCGCTCCTTTGGTTTAAGGAGTGGCTTGTAGTCTTGGCTCTCCATTCCATTGGCCTATGGCTATAGCTAGTCCTATGCGAGGACATGTGAGATTGTCTAGATCTTCTGCTCTCATTGATGTGGTGTCTAGCATCTCTGCGCCTATCAAAGTATTCCCTGATTGGGTGTTGTGTCTCATGATGATCTCCTCTAGACCTCGTAGCAGAGAAGCGGAATACCTTAGAGTTTCCCCGGTGTGAGTCCTCACCATCTCTGTGCTTGCTGGCATGCTTTGTCTTATCTTCTTCCTCTTTGACCCGTTTCATTTCATGTTTTGCAACTAAGCAGTCTTTGATATCATGGTCTAGTCGGAAGCATTTATCACAGTGTCTCTCCAGACGCTCGTAGACAAACGTGGCACATACCTCGTCGCCATTCGAGTACTCAATGATGGATTGCTTGAGTAGAGGCAGTAACCCGTTGATTTGAACCTTCATTCGAACTGTTAGCGGAGTGATTTCCATCTCTTCGAAAATTCCGAGGTCTTCTCCCAGGTTCTTGATCGTTGCCTCTGACCACAAGTGTATGGGTATCCCTTGGACCTTTATCCAGAATGGAATGAGTGATGGGAAGGTTGGGGCTGCTGTAGGTTCCCATCGTTGGATAATGAGCATCCATCTTGCAAAGTGGAAAGGCCGTTTCTCCAACACTGCCTGTATGTCAGCTTCACTTGCGAATTGAAACTGGAAAAGGCCATTACCCAGATCCGAGCCAATCGGCCTTCCATAACCTTTCCATTGTTTAAAATAGGGTATCAGGGACCATACTTTCTGAACTGACTTGTTTGTAACTCTTCCTATGAGCGTGAGTGAGTGCTTTTGTGCTATTGAAGCCATTTGTTGATGTGTACCGACTTAAAGAGAGATTGTTTACAATCTCGCCATCCCATTCCACTTTTCCTACATAATCAATTACGGGAGTGAAGCTAAATACCGGCAAGTATCCAATTTGCTCTAGAATATTTTTGATATATATTTGTGTTTTTCATTACTTACAGAAATTATAAATATAGTAACAACTAAACTATAGTTAGATCGGATTTGGTGTTTCCATAAATAGATCTGTGAATAATAGCACCATGTACCAAGATTGTCTTCTTGGTTTCGACAAAACTCGTATATCAAAGGTTGTAAATATGTATTTGTCTCTAACATATGCACATAATAGAGTAACATTATACAAATTACATTTTTAGTTTTGGAGAATACTGGTAACAAAATAAGGAAAAAAAGAAAAAAATATATATATATATTTTTACGGAAAATAAGGGAAAAATAATGAAAATATATTTCTAAAATGTGATGAATATTATAATAAAGTGTGTAGAAAAAACTGAAACAACAAACATAGTTCATAAGCTTGAACTTGAGTTGTGTGAGGGTATACTATTAAGCTTTTAGAGCATTTCTAACCATTGTAATTTTGATTTTTAAATGCTATGATAGAGGAAAATATATTCCAATCCATTTCTATTTCTTCATCTCAGAAAAACAAACTCCAAAGATTTTAAAATAAATTTATGTTAAGAAGATTTTTTTATGATAGAAGGTTATTGAGAGTGTTCAAATCTAATATTAAAACTCCAATAAAGTATGTCAAATCAGCATTATATTTTAATACATTGTACATATCAAAATTTTGAAAAGTAAAATATTTATTTAATGTAAACAAACAAAGATCATTAAATAGGAATTAATTACTACATAACCTAAATACTGAAATTTAACATACAAAAGATTAAAGATTAGGTTCTAAAATATGTCAAAATGCATATCATATATATCAATGAAATGGATAATTGATATCAACACTGCTCACCTAATAAAACTAAAAATTACTAACATGAAATTTATTGTAGAAATATGTATTATTCTAAAGTATTGATATATAGTTAAACAATCATCTAAACTTATAATATATAACAAAATTTTCTAAAACCAGCTAAAATAATATTTAGGTTAATTATTTTCTTTCTAAAACCAATGTATTATACAGATTGTTTTTTATCAAAGAAACTACTGATAAGAATCATTTTCTATAAAATACATATTGTTAAAGATAAATTCTTTATGAGTTTAAAATTATTTCTTATTAATCATAAGACAATAATAATTTTTTTTGCAATCAATAGTTAAAAATTTTAATTAACACTTTATACTATGCATAGACACAAATTTATAAAATAATAACCTTTAGAAGCTGATCAAATTTTCTTTATGAAGCAAATCTAAAAATAGGGTGTAGCCTACAGATGTATTTTTAAAAAATTATGATCATTAATAATAACAAAAATTACATCATATTTTCACATAAATTTTTAATCCAATTCACCGATACAAATAATTGGATCCATTTTTATATTAAATATATTTAAAATTTTCTATAAAATTTATGTGGAATATCAATAACAAATTATAGTTTGAACGATAAAATGAGAAAATGAGAAGAAGATTGGTCAATATGCATTCATCATCTCGATAATACAAAATATAAAAATAATAATCAACAAAGCAAAAACAATTAAAACTTACAATTTTTGTAACAGTTAGAAAAAAAAAATTACAAGGAATAAATATACTATGTACAAGATATACTATTTTCATTGGAAATTACCAACTATAAAATCATTTGTAAAATTATGTAATAGGTCACAAAAGGTGTTACAAATCTTCATGTAGGACTACAAAACAAGCAAACATTATTTTCTTACCATGTACAAAATATTACTAAAAATTTGTAAAATTAAATCAAGTAGAAGATAAATCTAATACTTAAAATGTACAAAATATTACTTAAAATTTGTAAAATTATTTATATAAGTATTCATTTTTATCATCTAATAAAAATATTTTGAATATTAGATCTTCTGAAAAATATTTATTGTGATTAGATTTTATATCTAAATATTATACTATCAGATATGACATTTTAGAAATAACTAAAAGTATTTCAAATATATATACATATATATATATATATTTTTATATATTTGAAATACTTTTAGTTATTTTTAAAATGTTTATATCTGATAGTATAATATATAGATATAAAATTTAATCACAATAAATATTTTATGTTATGTTATCCTATGTATATAAATATATATATAACAATCAAACATTCAGTTCAAAACTTTTCTAAATAAAAAGAAAAGTTAAATACTATGCATATATATTAATATTTTATGTTATTCAGATAAAAAGATAGCTACAATGTATAATAAAAATATTTGCAATATCATAGTAGTGATTTATATGTATTGGGAAATCTACCTAATAGTTCAAAAGTAAAAATATTACTTAAATAAATAGTTATATTTAAACAAAAATTAGAATTTATAAATATATATAGATCTAATTGGTGCATAAATTAAAAATTACAGTTTTAAAGACAAACATAAGTAGAAAAAAAAACAGAATATACATATGTTAAACATTTTGCATGGGAATAAAGTTTATATAAATTATTATATTTATAAATTTAAAACTTATCCAAAATTATTAAAATATTTTCGCACATAGCGCGAGTATAAAATCTAGTTGGATAATATAAGAAAAGAGATACGAAACCATATTAAAATGCTTTGGCAAAAGCTGCATTGGTAACGTACTATCTTAGTATGTCTTTTTGCAAATGGCATTAGAAGAATAGAGATGACTGCTTTCCGTAATTCTTCTAGGCTTAATGGTTTAGCAATATCTTCATTCATAATCAAGGATATTAAGTGGTGAAAATCTACAGAATATTTTTTGTATTATTCAGCTTAAACACTCTCAGATTTGAATAGTTTTGGGAAAACTAAAGGATTTTTAACATAAAAACCCCTCAACTAAGTTTGTTTTGGATAAAAACCCTTAAACTAAGTACTTAATGAAAAAACCTCAAACTAACTTTATTTAATGAATTAAACCCCATTGGTCATAATTACCAGTACTACCGGTAAATCTTTAGTTTATGGGTTTTATCATTAAACATAAAAAATCATAAAAAGAAAAAATCAAAATATAATAACATTATCTAAAAATTCGTAATTTTAATTTTCAAAACTAACATTTTAAAAATTTCTGTAAATATATGAGTGATTTTTTATCCTTTTAAAATGGATTTATAACTCTAAAATACCTTAACTAAGTTTGTTTTGGGTAAAAATCCTCAAACTAACAAGTAAACCCCCATATTAAACATAGTTGAAGGGTTTTTATCATTAAAAATCTAAAAAAAAAATTATAACATAATCTAAAAATTAGTAACTTAGATTTTTAAAATTAGAATTTTTCAAACTCTCTGTAAATATATGAGTTTGATTTGTTTTAACATCAACATTATATATATATATATATTAAAATTTTAAAACACCAAAAATATAATAAAAATCATATAAAGATTTATTATTTCATTTTTATTAAATAAGATATAATTTTTATTCTGTTTTCTTGTTTTTATATTTATAACTTTTGATAATTTTTACTACAGATAAATCATTAGATAATTTTTGTTATATTTTCTTGGTTTTTACATTTTAAATTTCTATATATATAAATTTGATTTTAAAAGGATAACAAATCAGACTCATATAGTTACCAAATTGTTTTTAAAATTTTAGTTTTGAAAATTAAAATTATGAATTTTTAGATAATGTTATTATTTTTTTGAATTTTATTGATTTTTATGTTTAATGATAAAACCTCTAAACTGAAGATTTACCGGTAGTACTGGTAATTATGACCGGCGAGGGTTTATTTCACTAAATAAAGTTAGTTTGGGGTTTTCTTCAGTAAATATTTAGTTTAGGGGTTTTACCCAAAACAAACTTAGTTGAGGGGGTTTTATGTTAAAAATCCAAAACTAAAATGGAAACAAAAATGTTTCTCGTTAAATATGTATGCGGAAGTATGTTCCTCTTCCAGTATTTCTTCGTCTTGTATAGTTCTCAATTTGTTTTGTACTCTTCTTGTTGCTGTAGCCATTCAATGTTACATATTATGGAGTTTTCATATTTACATATTTTACTAGGTGATTCTCCCTTGTATATACACGAATTTAAATATTTATAAAGTAAATAAATTATAATAATTTGTTTATATTTTTTGTTTATTTATAATTTTAAGTCAAGTTAAAAATTTTGAATAAACAATAAAATTTATTTTAGATAATATTATGCTATCATTTTAATTGGAAAAGTGATTTTAGGTTTAATATAAATTCTGTTTGGTTATTATTTGAATACATTGGATTGTATTTATGTTTGACTAAATCATCACTTTTTATTCTAAATTAGGTAATTTTTTTATTAATTTTGGTTTATTTCTTATAGTTTGGTGTCTTAGATTGTTACATACATTGTAAAATTATATGTTGTTTTGAAGACAATTAAAAAATATGAACTAAATCATGATGGATTCGTAGTTACGTAAACGAATGTTACTAATAATCTTTTAGAATACCATGCACAGTTATAACTTTCAAAGGAACTAACTCATATAATAATTGGTTAATATTTCATTTTATTTTATTTATAAGTTTGAATCATTCTCTAATTTATTTGTATAAGAAGTGAATACAATATTATTATAGATAATCATTTATAAGTTTTGAATCAATGGGTAATTTATATGTACAAAATAATATTGTCAAATAATAATAAATGGTTATATAATTAAACCTATGATTTTAGGTATATGAATTTTTATTCGTTATGTTACTTCTTTTGTGGTTTTGTGGGTTTATTAAGTTACAAATTTTCTTCCAAACTGACTTTTTTTATATTTTAATTAGGCTAAAATTCAAATAGTTGTGCTCACTATAATTAGCTTAGTTCATCATCCTAGATGTTTAAATATTTTCTTAATTGTTTTTACTTTTGTGTTGGATAAAAGGAAACTTACTTTACAAATTTAACTAAAGTTTTAACAAAAAGAAAAGGAAATCAGTTCTTTTTTAATAATGGCAATTACATAAAATTTATTTATTTTATTAAATGTATCTATATATTGAACGGTCGCAAAAATTAATATAAACACCACACGACAAGTAAAAAAATGATTTCTCAAATAATATTATAGCACATGCTACTTTTTCAATTCCATGATCGAAAAGACACAAAGTTCCCCGAAGACAGAACCCATACCTAGGGGTGGGCACAGATCGGATATCCGTGTTTTTTAAGGTATTTGTGATTTGCTTCGAATGTTACGGATATCTAATTTTGGTATTTGCTTTGCTTCGAAAAAATACGGATATCCGAAAAAACGGATATCCGGAAAATAAATAGATATTTGCGGATATTTACGAATATTTACGGATATCTCATCCATATTGATTAATACAAATAATCTTAAAATTTTGATACAAATTTGCTTTGCAAAATTATTTTTTTGCATGATATATAAAATAAAACTTAAAAAAACTAGTGAATTTATATATTTTGTATTTTTTTAAGCTTAAGTTACAATTATAATAACACAAAATTTAAGAAAAAATATAATTGTCATAATTTTCTTTCTTTATTTTTATGTAATACTTTATATAAGTAATAATTTGAATAGAATTGTTCAAAATCATATGCTAGAATAATAATTATATAATTTTAAACATTTAAAATGTTAAATATATGCAAGATATACATATATTTATATATTTACGGATCGGATCGGATATCCGCTTCCCAAAATTTTACTATTTGTGATTTGCTTCGATTTTAACGGATATTGAATTTTAGTATTTGCTTTGATTCGAAAGTTTACGGATATCCGAAATTTTTGGATCGAATCGAAACAAATAATGAATCGAATCAAATATAACGAATAAAATGCCCAGCCCTACATACCCATATAGGTTGTTAAACCCTGATGAATTTCAGTTAAGCATTTACTCTTGAAAAGTATCTTACTTTGTTTTTGATAGATAATAAACGAAAGCGCGCCACTAGATCTAACAAAATCTCAACGTCTAAAAGCTGATGTTGACAAAAACAAAAAGTTACTTTTTTTTTGGTTTTTTTATATGTAATATGTATATACACCAAAATCCACAGATAAACACGAAGGAGATTCGGATTTCGGAGAATCCACTAAAAGAGTTTATAATACCACTCGCTTGACAATGTTGACTCATTGCAAAAGGTAATAAACGAATGATGATTCTGAGTAAATAGTCGTTCTAGACTCTAAATAGTCTAATGTAATGTCGCTTCATTACCATGAATTGTTATTTCCATTTCGAATGATACTAGTAAAAAGTCGAATTTAAGGTCTATGCTCTGGGCTATAAGACCACCCATTGTAATTTAGTGGACATAGATCATGATGTTCCCAGATAAGGAGATACAATAGTTTTGCTTAGATACAGATCATACAGTATTTGAGTTCAATATTTACGATATCAAAAGATTACAAATCGCTTATATATTAATTGAGAAACATTTGAAAAATTGTAACCTTAATTTTGTAATAATTAAAAAAGAGTTCATGCTTACGTGTCACTCAATTAGTAGATCAATTAGGTAGTCAATTACATTCAATTGAAAAATAAGTAGATCCATATTCGATTTTTATATGTCGCTAAATATATTTGTTGGTCAAACTATATGATATGATATTTATAATAGAAGCATTTATGATTGTCCTGCTAGATTTAATTACTATTTATTTTCTTTCCTTAAATAAAAGCTACGGAATTATCATAAATGACAAATATATATATATATATATATATGACAATTAATGTTTCTAATAATAAATATTTGATAACAATTTGTATCTCCTCCATCATTTTCTTTAATTTTATATTATTCAAATAAATCAAACAATCAAATTAGCTATAAAATTAAAATTTAGATTTTTTTCGTATATGTTATATTTTGAATTAAAAAAAAAGAATAAATGAATAAAACTATTAAAATTATTATGTTAAAAATTAATGATCAATAGTTTAACATTTTTATTATAAAAAGGTACACATGATTTTAAAACCATATGAGTAAAAAGTATCATTCAATAAAAAAAAATATATATATATATAGATTAAACTATATACCATATAAGATTACATACTTATTTTAATTTCAAAAATTTCAATGAATTTTCAAGAACATTTATAAATTATAAACGTATTAAATTTTTCACATTGAAATTTTTTGTTATCAATGATTTAAATATATTAGTTTTTTTTTAATTTTCTATTTTTAAAGATATTAACACAATCAATAATATGGTTATTTTGGTATATACCATACAAACCGAATGTATGTGATTTTATAAAAACCGTAAGATTTGAATATGGTTTGATTTATAATCGATTAAACTGAAACATGTAAATATGTATATATATTTGTTACATGAGTTGAACTATAATTATGATTTGTAAATCACTTGAATCACTTGAAATATAATTAACTAACAATTTAATGCAACTGAGTCTTCTTATTTTCTTCGTCTTTTTTTTATCTTTTTTTCTTCTTTTTAATAAAAACTAAATTGAAGTAAAAATTATAAATTTGATGGACAACAATTAGTTGAAATTCTTTACAATTTTTTTTAATCTTAAAAAAACAGAGTTGTGTTCAATCGAAGACATATTAATTTGATGAACACTAAATATGGAAGAATATAAAAACTTTTCTTTCATGCTTCTGTTTTGTTTTTATTTTTATTTTCAAAATTTAGAGATTTGATATTAATTCTAGATTTGATCATTTTATTAGATCATAGAAGCTTTTTTTTTGTTTTTTATTCTTTTAGTTAAATATATAATATTTTTTTTAGTAAATGACTTTTTGACAATATGACTCTAAATATGATCATATTATTTATTTTTATAATATATAATATGGTTTCAAACTAAATAATGATGTATTTTGGTATAAAATTGAATAAACTGAAAACTAATATATAAACCAAATCAAACTGAAATAAATATGGATTTAGAATAGTAGTTATATTTTAATAACCAAAATACTGAAACCCGATATCCAGATTAAACATCCTTAATCTAGATGAAACCGAACTTTTGTTTCATTTTCCAAAACATAATAAAAATAATAACTTCATCCCGCCTTGCGCGGGTCTTATCCTAGTTCTCTGTTATTCATTTTGACCATTCAAAATTACCCAAAAATTCTGAGCCAAACTAACTGACCCAAATTTTTTCAGATACTAGTTAGTTCCTAAGATTTCATCCTGAACCAAACCAAAAAGGAAAAGAACCAAATAAAACTGAAGTTTATAGAAATCCAAGCGGTTCTTATTTCAATGGTCTATATTAGAGTCTGTAATTCTGTATCATATGTAGTTGAAGAAAAATGACAATCGGACAAAAAATCGGCCAATGGCTTAATAGTCTTTCAAAAGCATATGAGAAATATAATTTCCGGATTTACTCACAACCTAAGGTTCCATAAAACTATGGTTTCGTGCTCTCACAATACAAAGAAGCGTAACAGCACTAGTTTGGGAGAGGACTAATACGTGACGTTGTTGGGGAGATTTCTGATGACGTTACTCTTCATTCCGAGCTTAACACGCATTCTCGCTCCTCTTTTGTTCATCTCTCTCATCACTTTCATCCTCACTATGTCCTCCTTGGACTGCACTGTTGCTAGACCCATGCTCTTGTACCTGCGTTGTTCAAACAAACATACATCCAAGTCAGAGAAAGAGAGTACCAAGAGATGATCTCTGATGGGTCTCTCAAAAGACAAACCTCAAGGCTAGAGAGTTGACGATGTGCTTCTGAGAAGATGGTGGTGGCTTCTGTTTGTAGTAGCGCATGAACTCACGAGACCCCAGAGTCCTAGACGTTACTTTGTTCTCCCCTCTCTTGGTGATCACAAGCTCTGACCCACCAAAAAGCTCTACGGTGTTAGCTGATTCACCGGATACAACCATCTGGTTGTCACCTTCATTGGCGTAACTATACACATTCAAAAGAAACAACATTCAAGCAAGATTCCGTGGTAATAAAAGATACTCTAACAGAGAAGAAGGTGCTAGAGACCTGCTGCTGTAGTCATAGAACTCTTCTAGTTCTGCATCTTCTTCATCACCACCATCACCATAGTGCACTTTGCAATGACTCTTTGCTTCCATATGTTTTCGAACAGCTTCCAAACTGCTGAATGGATGGCACAGTTCATTGCAGTAGAGACAAATGAAGTCCCTCTTGACCTGTAATAGAAAACAAACATCTTTAACCTGTGTGAGGCCTACAAGTGATGAGACAAAACAACATACCTTCAAACCAAGGTAGGTTAGAAACCCTTTAGGATCCTTGAGGTACTCGATATCAGGAATGAAGAACCCATGGAACTTATGCATATGAACCATGCACTTCTCTAGCGTCTTCTGCTTTTTATCACACATCAAACAGCAAGTCGGATCCAATTCAAACTCAATATCATCATCCTCATCCTCATCCATATCTTCACCAGAATCATCATCCTCATCCAATACTCCCCCCTCCAAGTCCTCGTCAGAATCAACCTCAACCCATTCATCTTCTTCTTCGCTCTCTTCCTCAACCAAACCCTTAGGCTCTTTCTTCTCGACACGGCGAGGAGGAGGAAGCTGCTTAATGATGGCTTTATCTCCCTCCTCTCCGTTGCTTGTCGCTTTCAGAAGGTGGCTCTTTGACTTGAGATGCTGCTCATGAGCTTTGCAACTCCTGTAAGCTTTGTTACAGAGTCCACAAGTATAAAGCATAGGTGCTTCCTTAGATTTGATCCTCTCATGAGCAATTGCAGCTTGTCTTGCTTCAAATAAAGCTTCTGTAACTCCAGGTACACCAGCGATCTAACATTTCACAACAATATTAAAATAAAATAAAATAAACAACATTTCATATGAATATCTAAAGATTTTAAAGAAAAAAAAAACATCATCACAAATCATATGAACTGTTTAGACCAAGCGCTCATATAATTTTCCAGAGAAAACAAGCTAACGAACATTTCCAATTTAGGGCGAAACTAAAGAAACATAATCGGAATCACGATTCTCATAACCGTATCAATCCTAACAAAGCTACAATCAGTTAAAAACCCTCAGAAAGAAGCTTGTGTCACGCACTCAAAGGATTTTCCCGAGAAAACAAGGAAGCGAACAGTTTCAATCAAAGAAAAAAAGGGAAGAGAAGGAAGGACCTTGCGCTTGAGATTGTAACGGTGCCATTCGGACTTGTAATGGAGTTTCTGCTCAGCGTCGTCTTCGAAATCCTTGTTACATGAATTGCATGCTAACCCTGACATCGCTTGTTATACCTAAGATTCGATTCAGAAATGAAGACGTTTGAGGTTAAGGATGGGGATTTATATATATTTGCTCGTAGTCGTAGGTCGGTAGAGGAAAAGAGGTAAAAGCCAAGTTTGTTACGAAGACGACGACGGTATGTATGTGTTTTCATAAGCGGGTGATGTATTATGGATCGGGTCAAGATCCGCTTAGTTTTTTTTCTTTATATTTGGCCCAAAATGATATATTCAGGCCTGTTTCTTATTTATACCCCTATGATCTCTTTTGTTTTGCTAACTCGAGCTTTGTTGATTGATGAATGATGATGCGTGAAAAGTTTACCAAGCAAACTCATTTACTATGGGAAAATACAAAAACGTTAAAGAAGTATACGTAAATCCCTACAAATTTTAGAATTTTTTTTTTTTAGAAGAGACTGTCTCTTGAAAAAAATAATGGAGGTCTTGGTTATCAAGATATTCAACCAAGCTCTCTTGGCCAAGCAAGGATGGCGCCTGCTCATGATTGCTGATTCTCACTATACTTTCACCTGAACATTGAACTGCTTTTCCTTGTTTGTTTATGGTTTTTGGTTAGCCATCTCCAATGTTGTTCATAATGATCTCTTGCTTTGGCCTGAACATTGAACTCAAAAACCATATTTATTAACTGTGTTACTACATTTTATCTAGCTCATCAGTATTATCTCCACTTATCATAGGTAGATATTTTTAACATGTTAGCCATATCATAAATATACATCTACGAAAAATTTGGCGGCTCATCTTCACATGGTATTAAGGATCCTATTAAATGATAATTTTCACCATAAATTTTGAAGAGGAAAATCTTGATATCATATTTGAGTTTTCTTCTCCCAAAAATAGAACCAAGTATGGTACTATAAAAGAGTCTCAAGAAACGTTGGACTTTAGCATTTAAATATTTACAAATAGGAGGATTATGGTTGATTCAAAATGAAATGGAGACTGTAATGAAATATAAACATGAAAAATGCACCATGAATATTCGCAGGAAGAAATAGACCAAAACTGACTGTAACCGGTAAAATCCAAAACTTCATAATCATCTAAAATGGTATATATGTATAAGAAATTAGTGTCTTTATATTAACCAAAATAAAGAAAGAGGAGATAATAAGCATCAAACTCAAAAACATAAGACACTTGATGTAAACAAATGGCATTGCATTTGCTACCATCCACGAGCATCCAGTGCCTTTTTCTTGTTCACATGGCAAAGAGAAGTTTGGTCACTCCCTTTATCCTCGTGAATTTATTTTCTCTCTAATTTCTTTCTGGTCGAAGCCATATTTCTTCACATCTTCATTTAATTCATATACTAACGGCACCACGAAAGTTATTATATCACTACAAAAATGAACAGATAAGTGAAAAAATCGATTCTCTATTTCCATGCCGCATGAGATAAGATTACAAAATATACTCATTAATGTACCGCAACAAACAAAGCGACTTAGACAAAAAAAAACAAATAAAGCGACTGCAGAGGGATGTTTTCAAATAAGAAACAATATCATCTATAGATGTATCTATGTTTAATACTTAACTAACAAACAATATCATCTATAGTTAGGGTTACTTTGGCTGTGTAACTCCAGAAAGAATTCGAGATATTTTTGCATCTTCTCTTGTTTAATGGAAAAAGTTTGCATGAGTGGGTGAGAGGGAGGATTCTCACGTAAAATTCGTAACCAGGAAATTAAAGAAGAAAAACAAAAGTAGTGTCTTTCACATGTTTCTCCTTTGTGTGTTCATTACTCTGCCACCACATCTAAAATTATTTCTACCCTCTGATTTTTCTGTTAAAAATATTGTTACATTTATAGAAAGATATACATTATGAATACAGTAGCTATATTAGAAAATAACAATTTACGCAATACAGTATGATTTTACCTCAGATTAAAGATTTAAAGTGCTCTGCCTTTTGTTTTCTCCTAGTCCCCTATACATTATTTGTGAAGTGATTTTGCCACATGTCCTTTGTAGAATCAATTTCACAAAAAAATGATGACATGTCTACTAAAATTGATGACATGACATATGATTAAATATGACATAGACAATTGCATTTAATATTAATATATATTTTTGGAAAACTTTATAGAATATGGTAACAACTCATATATTACATTTAATGTCGATTTATATTTTTGGAAATATTTTTAAAATATGGTAATAACTAATAAATCATCATTAAAATAAATATATACCAATATCGCATTAAAAATTTCGAAAATATAATTAAATTATATATTTTAAAACTATAAAATTTTGTTACAATAATTTCAAAAATGTATACATTTTTTGAAAATTACTAAAATTTAATCGTAAAATTATTAATTTCTTATATATTTAAAAATTTAATAAATATTGTCTAATTTAAATTTTTGATAATTATAAATCCCCTATACATTATTTGTGAAGTGATTTTGTCACATGTCCTCTCTAGAATCAGTTTCACAAAAAAATGATGACATGTCTACTAAAATTGATGACATGGCATATGATTAAATATGACATGGACAATTGCATTTAATGTTAATATATATTTTTCGAAAACTTTATATTATATGGTAAGAACTCATATATTACATTTAATGTCGATTTATATTTTTGGAAATATTTTTAAAATATAGTAATAACTAATAAATCATCATTAAAATAAATATATACCAATATGGCATTAAAAATTTCGAAAATATCATTTAATTATATATTTTAAAACTATACAATTTTATTACAAAAATTTCAAAATTGTATACATTTTTTGAAAATTATTAAAGTTTAATCATAAAATTATTAATTTCTTATATATTTAAAATTTTAATAAATATTTTCTAATTTTAATTTTTGATAATTATAAAATTTTCTACAAATTTATTTAATATATTTAATTAAAGTAAATAGATAAAAATTATCTAAGATATAATTTTAAATATATACATGCATATTCTTAAATATATTTTAAAATAAACAAAAATATTTTTATATTACTTTTCATGTTTGATTAAGACCAAATTTGTATTAAAATAGTGATAAGAAAAAGAACTCATAAATTATCATTAAGATAAGAAATAATATAATAGTAGAAATATAAATATAATAATATTAAAAATATTGAAATATTTTTAAGAGTATTTTTATAATTATATATTTTTTATTAAGAAATTGTTTTTTTCAAAATTTTATGTAGTTTTTTTTTTTAAAATTAAAATTTTCTAATCCCAGTACAATTAGCTTTATTTATAACATCTATAAATTTTAGAAATATTATTTAGTTTTATATTTTGATAATTATAAATCTAACAAAATTTTCTCTTAATAGTATAGAATTTGATTTAATATAATTTAACCAAAAGATAAAAGATACATATATATTATTAAATATAAATTTAAGAAAAAAAAAATTAGATAGACCTAAAAAAAAGTGTTAATCACAAATATAGACCTTAAAATAAAATTGACCAAGATTGACTTAAATGTTTTATCAAAAATAAGTAAATATACACTTATATCATTTGGGGTAACTAACCGTAAACCTTATTGTTTAAAGTTGAGGAGTGGGGTTTTGGGGATAGGATTACAATTTTTTTTTATAAAAAATTGAAATTTTCAAAATAAAAAATGTTGTTTTGGTCATTTTAGTTTTAAGATCTATTTTTGTGAAAAAAGCTAAAAAAAAATTTTATTTGAGAGAATTGTCCTATATTTAAATAAAACTTTTTATTTTCTCTTAATTTTACATATAATTAATGTAAAATTAATAATGTAATAAAATAATAAATTTAAAAATTAATTAAATTTTATTTTTAAATATAAATTTATTTTTAAAATTTTTACTTCTGCACATGGTGCAGGAAACCATCTAGTACTATATTATACTTAATTAACTAATTTCATACTCCCCGTGCAAACACGGAGCTAGGATCATTGTGTTTACGTGTATTTTTCTTGATTGTTGGTTTAGTGGGTTCTTCTAATGACACCAAATAATAATGAAATGGAAAGAATGTGGTAAGAGTGTAAAGTGAATTGTATATATAATGTGTTAAATGTTATATATGAGAAGTAAGGTTTATAGAAATAGTTAGGCTATAATATAGTTTTTAGTGTGTAAAAGTAGGTGTCTATTTTTTTCCTTCCTATAAATAGTTTTTATATCGTAGCTAAAAACTTGATATAATTCTATATTTATAGTATTTATAATTGCATTAAACTATTTATCAATTTGAAAATAATCTTAATTAAAGTTAATATTCGTTGTTTAGGTTCCATTAGATAGGTTTTTGTAAGTTTGGGTTTTGTTCATAAATTATGTGGCATTTTTATCTACGGCAACATTGACTGTGGGAATCCATTCGCCGGAGTCTGGAGTCGGTGGTGAGGAATGTTTTCAATGAAATTATAGTAATTATTAAAATGTAAAAGAAATTACATATTCATTTAATAAATAATGAAAATACTTAAATTTTGTTTTTTAAAAAAAATTATTTCACATACAAATGTTTTGAAAATATATATTAGGAAATATGTGCAATGATTTAATTTTTTGAGCTCCTAATCTATATTATTCAAGCCTCCTTTAGCCATCCACGTAGGTAGCCGCGTGGGACTCACCTTTTTTTTGTTTTTTGGTTTGTTCGTTTTTGGATCCATTTTTATTATTTTTGGGTTGAGCTATATTATAATATGACATTTTAAAGGCTCCTTAAACCATCCACGTAGGCAACCGCGTGAAACTCGTTTTTTTTTGTTTTTTGGGTTGTTCGTTTTTTGATCTATATTTAACTGTTTTTGGGTTTTAATTTGTTAAGTTTTAGGGTATATCCAACTAATTTGATCTTTTAAACAATAATCCCAAAACAAAAAAAACATAAAAAATTATAAACAAAAAGCTCATATAATAATAATCCAAATAAAAAAATAAAAAATACATGATAGCTGCATGGTTTGAATCCACGTATTTGCAGGCTTAATTAGACATCTTATACCACTCGGCTAAAGTGTATTTTGTTGTTTGCAATCATCTTACCAAGGCTATGGGTTTTTAAAAAACACATTAGAGACCCACAAAACTGCTAATGTGACGCGTTGTGAAACCTAGAAACTCTAATACTCCCTCCGTTTCTTTTTATAAGATGTTTTGGTTGACTACACGAAGATTAAGATATTTACATTCTTTTTAATAGTACTTTTAATGATATACTTTTAAAATCATTCAACCAATTATAAAAAAAGATAGGAAAATTTTATTGGTCGACCAGTTTCCAATAAAATTAAAGTTAACTTTAAAACTTCAAAACATACCTTAAAATTTCAAAATATCTTATATTTTGAAACAACATAAACCTTCTAAAACATATTATAAAAAGAAACGGAGAGAGTATTATAATATAGATTTTACTACCTAGGAGCACAGAAGTTCTGTAACATGCTCAACTAATAGGTAACTTTCATTACTTATAGCTTTAAGTAGTATGATAATCAAGTGGTGGTGGCCTCGATGTCTAGTGGTTCCTATTTAAGAAGGAATTATCTTGTTAGTTTAGGTTATAGATCATTTCCTTCAAGCTTAGAGTTATCTCCCATTTGACACTAGAAAATCTGATGAATGGGCTACTAGGGAGTCACACTCACCCTAGGGGATTAACAGGGTGCTGAAAGCCGGGATACCTCATGCTTCTAAAAGAAACTGAATAATATTACGAAGAAACGAAATAAACTATTGTTGCTGCCAGAACAAACGTTGTGGAAAAATACATTTACAAAAAGAAAAAGAAATGCCACGTAAAAATGGAAAGGGGCAAAAGAAAAGAACTCATGATCTGACTTACTTTACCAAAAGTGCACACACAAACAAGCCTCCCTCGCATAAGGCCACTATCACACTTCATATTTTCGTTATGTCTTGTATAAATCTTCATAGTTCATACACTGCAAATAATTAGATACCAAATGTTCTCTTACTTCTCCACTCTCGTCTTCTCCTCATAACTATCCTAAATCCTTGTTTCGTTTTCTTCTTCACTCTCTTTCTTTCGTGGCTTCACTATGGCAACTGCCGCGGATAAAGGCAATGAACTCGACCACATAAAAAATGAAGCCGTTGATCTGGTAAATATTTCTTCGGTATCTTTCACCCGACTGATTTCAAAACATTATATATACACATATGCTAACTAAATCGAGCTAATTTTATTTACTTCTTTTCAATTTCTTCAAAACGTGATTTCATTTCTATTGTGAGTCCCACTAGACTTCATAGCATGGCTTCATATATAGGGCTCGTATCTAATTTAAAGAAGATAGTAGATCATTTAAAAAACGATGTGCAAACATCACACAATTGTATGTCTAGCTAACTAACTATGTGTTTCTTTTGCTCCCAAGAAAGCACATTTACAACAAGAAATTAAAGTACAATTTTAAAAAATATTTTCTTAAAAGTTGTTATCATTGTTTCTCTTTCTGCCAAGAAAACATATTTTTTTCTTAGATTAAGAAAGTACTATATTAAAAAAAAACTCGTATGAAATGTTATGAACTTATGATAAATAAAGACAAACATGTATATTTTGATTTAAGCTCCCTACGACTTGTCGAGTTGCTTGTTTAATTTAAAACTGTTAAATCCAAGAAGTTATTTTTGAAAACTAAGGGAAAAAAAAGTAAAAACAATAACATAAATGATGGGTACAGATTCGAATACCCATGGAAGAAGTTTTTGAAGAGCTGAAATGTACAAAACAAGGTCTTACATCAGACGAAGCTTCTTACCGTCTAGACCTTTTTGGTCCCAACAAGCTCGAAGAGAAGAAGGTTTCTTCTTAATATTTCTCCTTTACAAAAAAAATAAAATTAACATTGTTGAAACCATTTTTTACGTTGTGACTTTGGTAACTCGCAGAAAAGCAAAGTTTTAAAGTTTTTAGGGTTCATGTGGAACCCATTGTCGTGGGTGATGGAAGCAGCAGCTCTAATGGCTATCGCTTTGGCGAACGGAGGAGGACGACCACCGGATTGGGAAGACTTTGTAGGGATAGTTTGTTTGCTATTCATCAACTCAACCATTAGTTTCATTGAAGAAAACAACGCTGGTAATGCTGCAGCCGCTCTCATGGCCGGTCTAGCCCGCAGAACAAAGGTTATACTAATTATACCTATAATTTTTTTTTTGGTGAGCACTAATTATACCTATAATGATCATAGTGAATTTTCCCTTTGTTGGATATAAAACAAGAAACTTAAATAGAAACCGACAAAAATTATTATAAAACACAAGAATATTTTTGTTAATTTATTAATATTAACCATACAATATTTCGTTTTCTCCTATTTTTTTTTAAAATACAAAATATTAGGCATAGACATTTACGTAACCATTTTGATCAGGTTTTTGGATTTTCACATTTTCTATACGATATTTTTTTTTGAAAAAGATTTTTTATACAATATTCATAAGTTTTATTATGATATTTTTAATTCTTGGTCGGGTTCACTTTGATTTCTTCTGGATTTGGTTCAAATCAAGTGTTACCCAATGTTGTTTCATTATCCAAAAATTTTAAAATGATGAAAAATTAGAAATTAGTGGAAGTATTCAAAAGATAAACTCCGGTAAACCTATTTAAACTATATAAATGTATCTTAAATCATATTTGAACTTACCCAAATTATGTATAAAAATATCAAACTCCCTAAAATACTCTAAAGTATACAAATTAGTAGAATTTTTAAGTAAAAGTAGATTAATAGATTTTGCTAATTTTATTTTCTCTTATTTTAATTCAGGTTTTGATTCATACCCGCTCTTTCATTTCAGTTGGTGTTTAAGGTTTTTTCACAAAATTAAGAAAATAAAATTAATTTAACGAATAGAGTCTCTGTTTTTCCCGGTTAATCGGTATTGCTGTACTTCACCGGATCCCCCTTTTGGGGAAGATAAACAGAACTATTATTTAAAAGAAAAACGTTACATTAATATGTTAAGTAAATATTCACAATTACACACCAATTTTCCACGTAATGAATGATGCTTTGGTATATGATTGAAGGTGCTCAGAGACTGTCAATGGAGCGAACAAGAAGCATCCATCCTCGTCCCCGGAGACATAATAACCGTCAAGCTCGGCGACATCATCCCCGCCGACGCACGTCTACTCGACGGCGATCCTCTCAAGATCGACCAATCCTCCCTCACCGGCGAATCAATCCCCGTCACCAAATCCCCCGGCGATGAAATCTTCTCCGGCTCCACCTGCAACCAAGGCGAGATCCAAGCGATCGTCGTCGCCACGGGAGTCCACACGTTCTTCGGCAAAGCCGCTCACCTCGTCGACACCGCGAACCAAACCGGACATTTCCAGCGAGTCATCACCTCCATCGGCAACTTCTGCATCGCCTCGATCGCGTTAGGGATCCTCGTCGAGCTCCTCGTGATGTATCCGATCCAACGACGTAACTACCGCGACGGAATCGATAACCTCCTCGTTCTGCTCATCGGAGGCGTTCCGATCGCTATGCCTAGCGTGTTGTCAGTTACGATGGCGATCGGATCTCATAGATTGTCTCTGCAAGGGGCCGTGACGAAGAGGATGACTGCGATCGAGGAGATGGCTGGTATGGATGTTTTGTGTAGCGATAAGACTGGGACTCTCACGTTGAATAAGCTTAGCGTTGATAGGAACTTAGTTGAGGTTTTCGCCAAGGGAGTTGATAGAGAACATGTTATACTCTTGGCTGCTAGAGCCTCTAGGGTTGAGAATCAAGATTCGATTGATGCAGCTGTTGTTGGAATGCTTGGTGATCCTAAGGAGGCTCGAGCTGGTGTGAGGGAAGTTCATTTTATGCCGTTTAATCCGGTGGATAAGAGGACTGCTTTGACGTATGTTGAGTCTGATGGAAGTTGGTTCCGAGCTAGCAAAGGAGATACAGAGCAGGTATTCATGGTTTGATGTGTTTGATCAGGTTACGGGGATGGTTGTTCTGATGATCTTTTTTTTAATACAGATACTGAACCTATGTAGTTGCGAGGAGGATGTTAAGAGGAAAGCTCATGGAGTGATTGATAAGTTTGCTGAGCGTGGACTTCGATCTTTAGCTGTTGCAAGACAGGTTTTTTTTTTCTATTAGTATAAACTCCTTTGATTGTATAATGTGGAGAAGTTCTTGTCTCTTTTTGTTTTCATTGCGTTTCATATTGGTTGCAGGAAGTTCCTGAGAAGAAGAAAGATGCTTCTGGTGGCCCATGGCAACTTGTGGGTCTTTTACCTTTGTTTGATCCTCCGAGGCATGACAGTGCCGAGACAATCAGGAGGGCTTTAAACCTTGGTGTTAATGTTAAGATGATAACCGGTAATAATCACATAGTTTTTTTTGTTTTGATACTTTTTCTCGCTACACTTTAATTTTGTCTTTCTCGCTGAAAACAGGGGACCAACTTGCAATTGGAAAAGAAACTGGTCGCAGGCTTGGAATGGGTACAAACATGTACCCTTCTTCTGCGCTGCTCGGACAAGAGAAAGATTCTTCCTTGGGTGCACTTCCTGTTGATGAACTGATCGAGAAAGCTGATGGATTTGCAGAAGTCTTTCCAGGTAGATACACTTTAGCAGAAGGCTATATCTTTCTAATACATAATGCGGATTCTATTTCATGGATATTCTCCTGTGTACACGGAAAATTGCAGAGCATAAGTATGAGATTGTGAGTAGGCTGCAACAAAGGAACCATATATGTGGTATGACTGGAGATGGTGTGAATGATGCATCAGCTCTCAAAAGGGCGGATATTGGTATAGCTGTTGCTGGTGCTACTGATGCTGCCAGAGGCGCTTCTGATATCGTTCTCACAGAACCTGGACTGAGCGTTATCATCAGTGCAGTGCTCACCAGTAGAGCCATATTCCAAAGAATGAAAAACTACACTGTGAGTTAAAACTTATTCCCATTCACAGGCTCCCTTGTTCCCATATTGACATCGTCTTTCTGTGTAGATTTATGCGGTTTCAAACACGATACGTATTGTGGTTAGTGTACTTATTAGATCGCACAAGATTTCATTTCGTTTTGATGGTTACAATCCTTATCAAAAGGTATCGCAACTTGGTGCAGTTTGGCTTCATGTTCATTGCGCTACTATGGGAGTTTGATTTCGCGCCTTTCATGGTCCTGATCATAGCAATCTTAAACGATGGTGAGGTTACATTATAAATAATGAATTGCATATAATAGTAGTGAGCTATCGATAAAAACTAACAAAAGCGTTGCTACTTGTAGGAGCAATCATGACAATATCAAAGGACAAAGTGAAGCCATCTCCACAGCCAGATAGCTGGAAACTCATAGAAATCTTCTCGACCGGAGTTGTGTTTGGAGGTTACCAGGCCTTGATGACTGTCATTTTCTTCTGGGCCATGACAGACACTAATATTTTCTCGGTATATACTCGTACTCTCAGTTTCTTCTCTATGCCAGTTTCAAAAATAACTCTTTTGAGGGTTTGTGTAGAACATGTTTGGTGTGAGACCATTGAGTCAACGTCCTGAACAAATGATGGCTGCTCTTTATCTACAAGTTAGCATCACAAGTCAGGCACTCATATTCGTCACCAGATCCCGTAGCTGGTCCTACGTCGAACCCCCTGGTCTTCTCGTACTTGTTGCATTTATCATAGCTCAACTGGTATGTAACAAATGCACTCTTTTCACGAAAACAGAACAAGTTTCATTGCGTTGTCTACACTCACTCAGGTGGCGACACTCATAGCTGTTTATGCGAACTGGAGTTTTGCGCGGATAGAAGGAGCCGGTTGGGGATGGGCTGGAGTGATCTGGCTATATAGTCTCCTAACGTATATTCCTCTTGACTTACTCAAGTTTGCAATCTGCTACGTGTTGAGTGGCAAAGCTTGGTTAAACCTTCTTGAAAACAAGGTATCGATACCAACTCCACAAAACCATCACACGAATCCAAGAGTAGCCAGTGAATTGTTGCTCTGCTTATATGATGGTTTCTATGTGTTAAAAAATAAATAGACTGCCTTCACGACGAAGAAAGACTATGGTAAAGAGGAAAGAGAAGCTCAATGGGCTGCAGCTCAAAGAACCCTCCATGGACTTCAACCACGAGAGACAAACAACATCTTCAATGAGAAGAATTGTTACAGTGAACTCTCTGAGATTGCTGAACAGGCTAAACGCCGAGCTGAGGTTGCTAGGTAAAAACTAAATCATTATATTTTCCATCGCACCATTGGTTCAAAACTCTCATAATCATACCTGAGCTCAACCCAAAATTTCGCCTGTCTCTTTCGGGTTGGTTGTTTACAAGTTTTTGCTAAATGATGAGATGTGGGTTTGATGATATATGCAGGCTGAGAGAGCTAGACACATTAACAGGACAAGTAGAGTCAGTGGTTAAGCTTAAAGGACTTGACATAGACACGATTCAGCAACATTACACAGTCTAAGCTAGATTGTTAATAGCTGTGGATAGTCATCGACTCCCCAGAAATGTTGCAACCAAATTAATCTACTTTGGTTTCTTTAGATTTTGATTATTTCGAAACAAACAGACTTGGAGTTGCCTTTTTTTCTTCGAAAGAAATTAATTGTTATTTTATTTATCTATTTGCTGCTTCAAATTTTCCAATACTGGCCTATAATAGTAGCAAATATTAATGGGACCAATACTAATTACAGTAAAGAAAATATTAAAAAACACCATAACCATCTTTAAAGGTAAACAATAGCTAAGCATAAACTACTTTGGTTAATACTCCTGTAAAGAGAACCAATGAGCCTAAGATACTTGACCAACACGGAGAACTTTTTTTTTCTTTGCATCAACATAAACAAACTCAAACTGATTCTGCAAATTACATCAGTAACTTTGCATCCATGTGAACAACAAAAGACGACTGTTTCCTAACACTGTGTGATAGACTATCCATCTTTTCATTCTTTGTTCTTGAGAAATATATAATTTTTGAGTTAAGGAAGCTCTCATTCAACATCTTGATATCCTCCGGATAAGCTGCAAATGCTGACCACAAATTTTTGTTTTTACCGTTATAGATTTATTTCAAGAAAAAGAAATACCATATGCAGAAAAAACAGAAATAGAGCATTTTCATGTACGCGATTAACTTCTTCTAGGTCTTTTACTATAAACTAGGATAAAACTTACGCAAGATGAATTTACATGAAAATTATTGAATAAATATCATATGGAAAAATAAAATTTATATTCTTGATCGAATTAATATTTTTGGCCTTGAAACAATTTTTTAAAATTGTTTTTATTAATTACATAATTTGTTGACTCATGAGCTAATCCCATTTTTAAAAACCTTTTACATCAAAAAATCACTTATCGCATAAGAACCTAATATTTAAACTGAATAATCTCAGGTCTACTATTTGGTTACAATTAAACTATGTCATCTCGGTTTTATATCATTATTTAGTAATTTAAAAGTTAATTACGACTATGAAAAGTTTACGTACCAATCCTATTTATTTTCAATATTTTTCTCTTTTGGTGTTGTTTTTTTTTTCACTTTGGTTATTGCTCGATATAAATATTGATTTTTTGAGTTTATTCTCATTTCTTTCTTTTGTTTTGGCCTAATATTTAGAAAATGTTTAAGATTTAAAATTATTAAGAGATACATACTTAGGTTAAGATCTGCGCCTTGTGCCGAATAAAATTTTTATATTTATTTTATGTTTTTCTGCATATTATGAGATAATAAAATAATTCTTATATATTAAATAACTAAGAAATCAGTTACTAATATTATTGTGTAATAAATCAGAATAATCAATCTCATCTATCATATATGATATATAATTAAATTTAAATGATATTAACATAGATATAGTACTTTTAATATGGATATTTATTAAATGAAGTTTCTACTCATATGATTTTATAATTATTTGTATATTTATGTAACACAAATTTACACCAAAGATTTTTTTTTAATGTGGAATGTTTAGTGGTTTCAATAATTTATAATCATTAAAAAAATAATGAAATTTTCAAAATTAAAATATGAAATTTTCAATATATGCTCAATGCAAATATCAAAATATAACTATGTATTTTTATATGGTGTATAGTTTAATTTAAACGACATGAGATATATATATATATATATATATATATATATATATATATTAATATAAACACCTATTAAAATAAAATAATTTATTCATAGGATTTTATAATCATTGTATCTTATTATAAAAAAAATTAAAACTTGATCACAAAAGTTTATGTGAGATTTTTAACAGTTTGGTAATTTATACTTGTTTTGAAAAATTCAAAAATCAAAATACAAAATATACAAAATATAAATTTTGATTTTATGATTAATGTAATTCTGTAATTTATTTTAATAATAAAGAATTAAATAAAAATGATAGAAAGTGTACAAATTATTAGCAAATTTTATAGGGGTTTTTGCAAAATTGACTCAAAACTCAAAGTCAAACACAAAACTAACTTCTTCTTTTGACTCATCTTGTTTTTGTCCTATTCACCCCACATCCTCATTTTATTTACGAAAATGCCATTAATTTTTTTTTGTAATTTTTTTTCGAAAATGACCTTTTTACTCTCTCAACCTCATCATCTTCAAGTATTTACAACATTACCATTGCCATGAATACTCCCAACAACCTTGTACAACCCAACAACCTTGTACAACCAAGGTTTGAATAATGCACTTAAAATCGATACCCATACTCTCTTTCTCAATTGTTATGAATTAAAAACAACATCTCCTTCACTTTGTCTCCATATTCATACCAAAAACCCAGCTTTTGATAGCAAATTTTTTATGGTTGATAGAGCTATTTAAGCATACAATATTTTGTGGGTTATTTTCGTTTGATGTTCTGGGTGGTTGGAGAAGACTCTGTGTGCAAAAGAAGTCATCTCACCTAGTTTAAGGTATGAAATTGAATTTTTTTTACAGATCTGTTCGCGTAGAAGACTTACCCGTAAGTCATCTGGATGTAGAAGACTTACGGATAAGTTTTCTGGTCAAACGGACGACTTACTTCTAAGTCGTCGACCAGCTTTGTTTGTTAAAAAAAAAACACCAGACGACTTATAATTAAGTCGTCTATGTAAAACGGGCTACTTTTGCATTTGATCGAATTGTGTCAGATATTTGATTTTTTCTGGACGACTTACAATTAAATAGTCTCTAGGAAAGTTAAAATTTCAATATTTTATTAAATCTAGACGACTTACTGATAAGTCGTCTAGATTTAATAAAATATTGATATTTTAACTTTTCCATAGACGACTTAATTGTAAGTCGTCCAGAAAAAGTCAAATAACTGACACAATTCCGTCAAATGCAAAAGTAGTCCGTTTTACCCAGACGACTTAGTTATAAGTCGTCTAGTGTTCTTTTTTTAACAAACAAACCCAATTTTATAATTTAAAATAATTAATTGTCATATATATCGTAATCACATTAGGTAATTTCGTAGATTTTGTTTAAGGAGATAATATATAATAAATCTATTCTATTAAAATAGAGTCATTATTTTTATCTACTGATACAAGTTGTTATTTAAATTTGGACCATTTCTAGAGTGTTACAAATAATACAAATTATATAGTTGATTGAACCGCATTACTTAAATTAAACCGGCGGTTATTTATGGAATAGAGTTTTGGGCTTACTTTTGTTTTTATGACATTTAATTGTTTGGTTTTTGGGCTTAGTATTAAAGAAAAACTCCAAACAACATTAAATAAACTTTTCACCTTAATGGATCAAAAATCAATTACTATTTTCAAGCCCAAAAATATTTAATATTTTCAACAAAACAAAAGTATCTATTATTAATCACTTATTTAAACCATGTACTTTAAAACATGTTAATAGCCCAAAAATATTTAATATTTTCAACAAAACAAATTATCTATTATTAATCACTTATTTAAATCATGTACTTTAAAACATGTTAATATTTTTTATTTTAAATAACAATCACTCTATATTGATAGATTTTAATGGTAACTTTTAAATAATTTATTGTTTTATTTTTCTTAAATAATTTACAGATTTAAAAAAAATGTAAAGCAAAACCAGAAAACCAATTCTAAAAACTAAAATTGAAAACGCAGGTCATATTTTTTGATTTTTTTATTTACAAATAAACTGTTTCAAAATTTTTTTAGAAAATTATTTTTTCATCTTTTCAGTTTTAAATTAAATGTTCGATTAATTAAGATTTGTTTGTTGGTAATATCAGTTCAAACTAACTCAGCGGGTCTAAAAATTAAAAACCCAAACCAAAAACTGAAAATCAAAAATAGAAACTTAAAAACTAAAAACCAAAAACCAAAATTTAAATCAAAATCGAAAAATAAAAACTGAAACTAAAAAATAATGAAAAACAACTATCACCACAAATTTTGATAAACTAATTTTATACCAAAACATTCTTTAAATTAAGACAAAACCCAATTATATAAATTTTTAATCATAAGAAATTTCCGCGCTTTTCAAGCGCAGATCAAAATCTAGTTTCAATTAAATAACTGAATGGTCCAAAATAGACATACTATATATAATATAACACTCCCTATCAATTTAATTTTAGACTAACAAAATTCTCAATTGATTCTCAAGTCGTCACGTAAACAAAATTAACATTGCAATTACATGAGCCGGGTCTGATGGTTGTGTGCATATGTTTCATGAAGATTGCTTCGTCAAGTGGTTGGGTCGACATGACTAGTGACCTCTCTGTCGCCTATCCACAAACCCCTTGCCGAACAAGAGTAGAGCTTTGAAAGAGTTAACAGATGCTTAATTAGGGTTTCATTACTTAATGATGTTGTTAATCTTTGTCCTATATGTTAATTAGGGTTTCTTATTAATTTGTTCATATATATTAATCTCATCATTCGTATTATAGTTGTGGCCGACAAATGTTTTAATGAAATTCTTCAAATTCGTCTTCTTGTCTCAGTTTTCATAAAAAGCTTGTTTCTTGTGTGGGACAACTTAACATTACCCTTCTTTTTTTGAAAAAAAAAAAAATGTGTGGGACAACTTAACATTACCCTTCTTGAAACCAAAGTTTTGTTTTGGATAAAAAAGAAGCAACACAAACTGGATTTTACTTCATCAGATATCTCGATCAGAGAGTATATGAACTATGATGCTTCAAGTCCAATTACTAAACCAAGAAAACAAAACAAGATCAATCCATTATCAATACTGAACTAAATATTTTACAAGTTAAATACTATAAAATATTATTGTGTCAAAAAAAGTAGTACAAAATATTTTAATGTAATATAACGTAAATTAAATGAACAAGTTAGGACTCATATTTTAAATTGGTTTCAGTTACGAGAAAGAAAAAACATGTCCTTTTTGTGATAACAATAAACCGATAGATAAAGTAGCAAAAATTAGGCAATGAATGGAGACTAAAGTGCAGGGCGGATTTACATCATATCAGCGGAATTTTATATAGGAATAATTTGCTGATACATCCCAAATGGAGTCTATATTAGTGATTTATCCATGATGTGACTTATCTATTTTATATGACGAAATTGTCCTTTCTTTTACATGTATGTGACTTTCTCTCTCTTGACACACTCTCTTTCCT